AAGCTCTTAGCCATAAAGGTTGCCTTAATACTAATTAAAAAAAACAAAAAGTAAAAAAATATAAATTCAAAAATAATAATATTAAAAATTAAAAATTATAAAGAAATAAAGAGAAGTATTATAAGAAAAATTGTATATCAAGTTTTAATACCCTAATTGAATGAATGATCTAAAAACCTTTGATTTATAAAAAAATAAAAAAGATATAGTATGTGAAAGTAAGAATTATATACCAGACTTAGAGATCTCTTATTAGATAAATGATCTAAAAAACTTTTGGTTCATAAAAAATAAAAAAGATATAGTATATAAGAGTGAGAATTATATACTAGACTAAAAGACCTCTTATTAAATGAATAACTTCAAAAACTTTTAATTTATAAGAAAATGAAAAAGATACACTATGTAGAGTGAGAATTGCTTACTAGACTTAGAAATCCTTTATCAAACAAATAATCTAAAAAATTTTTGATTTATAAAAAAACAAAAAAAATACAGTATATAAAAGTAAGAATTATATACAGTTGACTCTCATTAATATCAATCTTGTTAATATCAACCTAAGCCACAAATTAAATTTTTATAAATTTTTATATATTAAAATCCCCTCATATATATCAACTTTAATATAAATTCTCATTAATATCATATCAATATGAATATAATGGTGGTCCAAATAGGTTGATATAAACAAGGAACAACTGTACCAGACTTAGAGACTCTTTATTAGATAAATGATTTAATAAATTTTTAATTTATAAAAAAAACAAAACGAGAAGAATTGCTTACTAGACATAGAGACTCTTTATTAGATAAATAATCCAAAAAATTTTTAATTTTTAGAAATAAAAAAGATCAGTATGTAAGAGTAAAATTATATGCCAGACTTAGAAACTCTTTATTAAATAAATAATCCAAAAAATTTTTGATTTATAGAAAACCAAAAAAGATACAGTATATGAGAGTGAGAATTGTTTACCAGACTTAGAGACTCTTTATCAAATGAATAACCCAAAAATTTTTAATTTATAGAAAAATGAATAAAATATAGTATATAAGAGTAAAAATTATATATCAGATCTAAGACTCTTTATTAGATGAATGACCCAAAAAATTTTTGTTTTATGGAAAAATAAAAAAGATATAGTATGTAAGAGTTAGAATTATACACCACTTATAAATAGATTAGCTAGAAATAGTTAATTATATAGTAGGTGTAAAATCTACAGATGTTACAAAATCTAGTATATATATAGTAAGTTATACCTTGATTAAATTAGAAAAGATAGCAGTTGTAATCAGAGAGTTTAAATGGCATCTTCTATAGTTAAAATGCAGGTACAGCAAATAGTGTAGAACTTTCAGGTGGACTACTTAAATTAGACACCAAAATGCATGGTAGCTTAATGTACTTTCATTGCGATTGTAATTTAAAGTTAATAATCTAAAAAAGTTTCTTAGCTTTAGAGATCACCTTAACAAAAAAAAAAAAAAATCAAAAAGTACTGTATAAAATTTTTTATTTAAAAGCTTTAGATATAAAGTTTATTATATAATTTTTAAATTGATACAATGTTTATTTAGCTTAAATAGATTTTAAAAAGTAACTACTGTAAAATAATACCTCACTGTATTTTGATAGGCATTTTGATTTTTTTCTAAATTTGAGTAAAAATATCTCAACAATTACTTGACCGAATTTAATAAATCTTTTTTTACTGTATTTAATTCTATAGATTTATAAAATTCAAATAAAAAAATTTAATCAAGTTTAGTAACATCTATTTAACTAAATTGAGTAAAAACTTTTTTTTATTTTAATTCTATGAACTCTCAGAATTAATATAAAAAGATTTCACTAATTTTGGTAAGAATATTGCTAAGAAATTTTATTTAAATCTTCAAAAGATAAGAATACCTTTAAGAAAAAAATTCAGCCAAAATTTCTTTCCTTAAGTTTTAAATAAAAATCTCTCGGCATCTACCAATCAAATTGGATGAAGAATTTTTTATTTTAATCTGCAAGTTTGTAGAATTAAAATAAAAAAATTCATTCATTTTGATAAGTTGGTTGTCAGGAAATTTTCATATAAAGATAAATAAACAATTTAGCCACAGTTTCTCTTTCATGAATATTTAATTTGAACAAAGTTTTATTGACAAATACCTATTCAAATTAGATGAAAATTATTTATTTAATTTTATAAATTATAAATTTAAAATAAAAAAAAATTTATAAAATTTAGTATTTGTCAAGAAGACTTCGTTCAAATTTAAACGTCCATGAAAGTGAAGCTGCGGCTAAATTTTAATTTCTTTTTAGATGAAGATTTCTTGATGAATACCTGATCTAAATTGGATGAAATATTTTTATTTTATTTCTACAAACTCGCAAAATTAAAATAAAAAGATTTTCATTCAATTTGATAAGGTGGTTGTCGAGAAATCTTCAAGTTGAGCTTTAAAAAAGAAAATTTACCCGATTTTTCAAAACTTTAAGCGAAATTTCTCGATAACACTAGACCAAATTTGATAAAATTTTTTTTACTCTGATCTACAAGATTATAGAATTAAAATAAAGAAATTCATCGAATTTAATTAGGAGGCTATTGAGAAACCTTTCCTAGAAGTTAAAAAAATATTAACAATTAGTACTGTAATTTATTGGTCAATTTTTATCGATCACTCACGTGCCCGTACTTTTACTGGCTGGAGTAGTTTGGCGTCACGGCGCCATGACGCTATAAATTAAAAATTTAATTCTCTTAAATTTTTCATATTTTTCCTGCATCATCATAATTTGATTGCCCCCTATACAATTATAATTGATCACCTATAACTTTTTAACCATATTATCTTCTTTCTGTATATTTCATGTCCCCTATACATAAATCCTGCTATTCCCATTTATATTCACCATAATATGATATACCATAAACGCGTCATCATTTTAATACCAGGCTTTCACTTATTATCGACAACTTTCTAGCTTCCTTGTGATAGATGTTTTGGGTGGAAAGCCTTAACTTAGATATAGATGGAAGAGGTTTAATTGTTGTTGAGGAGGATGATTAATTGAGATAACGTATGGAAATTGTTTCGTTGCATGCGTTGGGAGAATCTAATAGTTGCCATGTATAAAGGCCACTATATTCACTTTAAATGTATCTTGAGATATGTTCTCCTTTATAATAACTTCTAAATATTTCTTTATTATATCGTATGGCTGATTATTATTATATTGTGTTGTACGTAGTGCTCGGCACAATCAAACAAAAATTTGGCAGTCAAATACTTGTTAATACTTATGTTTAAATCGGATATCAAACGATTGCAGATTAACCAAAGCTAAATATTACTATTGGTTAATCTGCAATCATTTGATGTCCGACTTAATCACAAGTATTAACAAGTATTTGACTGTCAAATTTTTGTTTGATTGTGCCGAGCACTAGTTGTACATTTATTGTTTTATTTGGTTTCTTACATTGAGTTATTCAAATATTTGCTGAGCACTTGTATCCGTTATCTTTGATTATTCTACAAATTCTAGTTCATAACCATTTCTGTTTACTATCCTTAGTGTTTTGAACCGTCAACCGAAAGTTCAACCGGGGATGATCCGAGTGGACTGCCGGGTTTTCCCAGCCAATCACTGATGTTTGTTTGCATCGAGTAAAATAGGATTGACACATCCTATTTTACCCGATGCAAACAAACATCAGTGATTGGCTGGGAAAACCCGGCAGTCCACCCGGATCATCCCCGGTTGAACTTTCGGTTGACGGTTCAAAACACTTTAGAACTTATGGTCTGATGCTCTTCCCGGATGTGGGGTCAAATTCGGGATTCACAATACTAAGTTACTCAACAAGCAATATATGTAATGGTAATAAATTTTTTGATAAACATGATATACTTTCGGTGACAATTATGCGCATTTACGTACACGTCATTGTTACACGTAAAAGCAAATATGGCGCACAGCAGTCATTTCCCAACAGCGTGAAATGAATAACAATTTTTATTGTAGTCGATTTAATTATGTTATTCGTGGAACAGTGATAAATATTCGGAGGCTGTTGTATGTACGACAAACATTAAACGCCAACAAAAACGTGGCGACGATCTATATCATACGAATCACATGCGTATTCATGCGTTATAATGTCGGACAAGGGGTAAAAATGCGGTAAAATTGGGATAAAGGTGCGGTAAAGGTGCGGTAAAAAGGCGGTAAAAAAGGCGGTAAAAAGGCGGTAAGAAAATAGTAATCAATGTTCTAATAACTATAAATATTTATGATCTTTCGATATTTCTTTTTCAACAATCTCTAATCTCATAACCTCTATTTATAAATGTTTACTGCTCAACCCAAGAAAATTAGAAATTACGCGACCTCCGCATGTGAAAGATGTAAAATGGCAAAAAAAAAATGCACTGGCAAGTGCCCATGTGACAATTGCGTTATTCGAGACGCTGAATGTGTATTTAGTAAAAAAAAAAAACGAGGTCCAAAGTCTAGAAGTCGACAAAGGATTGAAACAACTTCAGAACCTTCTAAACATGATAATTTATGCGTCAATATGAATGTTTACTCTTTTCAAGAATCAGAAATGTATTCTGATTTGCAATTAAACAATTTCGATATTACTCCGTTAATGTTACAATCGCCTGCCGATTTTCCTAGTAACAATATCAGCGCAGTTGGTGTATTGCCAATTTTTTCTGAATATGAATGTACTCATCAGCTCCTTATAGGTTATGAAGATCAAAATTTATCTTTTAACAACTATTCTGACTCATGTATTAACATACCGGGTATTGACATATCAGAAAACTTTAACATACCAGAAAACGTTATTAGTAATACTTTTCAAAATGAAAATTGGGTGAATAATTTGTACGATTAGATCTTTTAACAAGAGATATTTGCAATTTTAATTTTTTAAAATCAAATATAAATATAATTTTTTTTACATTCCTACTAGAAATGTCGACAAAACTTGATAACTGGCTACGTCATAGGTTTATACTGTTCGTATTTTGAAGCTTAGCCTAAATATGAAAACCGTCAAAATAACTTAAAAATTAAAAGATAAAGAACTGTTATATTTATTAAGTTTGGTTCAGAGGTCATAAATTCCCTGGAATAAAAATAGAATGGGATTTGAATATGTCATTTATGTTAAATATAGTAGCTTCTGAAAACAAATCAGAATTGTTGTCATGCTCGTAATTCTTATATTGAATCTCGAATTCTTTTCGAACCTTTGAAAGCCAATACATCCACAACATTTATATAGATCCAATATGCTTAATAGTAAATTGATTTTAAACAAATCTTTTTGACTGGTATAAAATTATATTTTGCGTTAACTGCCATGTAAGTGAAGATTCTTTTTGAGAATAAAACTCTATACTGTAAGGTTCTTCATTATAAATCTACTTACAAGATTTGACCAGTAAGCCAATGCATACTGCTTGATGTGTCCAAGAGCTTTCCAATAGTTTCTAGCTTTATATTATAACTAGTTTTATTCTTTTTATTTTAAATTAGTAATTTAACTATATACAATATATATTAAACTTAGTTTTTTAGCATGTAAAAATAACACTAGTGACGATAAATGTTATGCGTATCACTAGTTCAATTTATAGTTGTTAGACGAAACCTTTTTCGCATGATGACGAAAGCAAAACCTAAACCCTAAAAGACGAAATCTCTGAGGAAAGTCGAAACCCAAATTCTCCTTATGAAAGGCAAAACCTTAAACTTAAAATGACAAAACCTTACGTTTAAAATGACGAAACCCTAGCTAGAGCACCCGCTAAAAAAAAACAAAATAAAAACAAAATAAAAAAACAAGTTATTATTTTCATTGGTAAATAGGTATTTATGTTCGTGATTTGTGAACTTGTTTTGCTGTTTTTAATTCCATTGATTAATAAATGTTCTTTATACTCACCCACTAAATTAATGCGAATGAAATGAATTTAAACGTATTGGTAAATAAGTATTTATGTTCATGATTTGTGAACTTGTTT